TTTTGCACAATTAACACTTCTGAAGGCTATATATCACTGTCACTATTCGTTTCTCCCTACTACGGCTTTGCCTTTTTAGAAAGCGACCACCTAAGCTTGGCATTTTGGGCGCTGCCTTTACCATGCATCACTAACAAATTTACTTCCTAATCCCAAATTTCCCAACATAGTAATGTTGAAACTAACCTTAAGGTGGCTGGTGATGGTTTGTAACTTTGAAAGAATACAACAAAAAGACTGACCAAGGCCAGTTCAACACTTTTATTGGGTTGAATTATATAATCATTGACTATTCAAAAATAGGTGTCATTTCGTCACTAGCAGTTTCCATGGCAATGCTTTCATAGGCTTATTCAGACGCATTTTTTAGCTTGTGGCTTAAATAATTCAAAAACTAACCCGGTGACCCCGTGTTTTTCTTCAGTGATTGCTTTTGGCACTTGAAAAGGAAAATGCACAAAGATTTTTTTAAAAATTCTACGGAGCAGAATTTCAGAAAATCTAGAAAAAAGGCAATTTTCACACATCGCAAATTTCCTTCCGTAGAATTTTCTAGTTTTTTTTCTGAAGATTCCTTTCGACGTTATTATCATATTGGAACAAAAAAAAAAGGGGTGACCGGACTTGTTTTCATGCAATAGCTTTCGTGAGTTTACCAATTTCCACGTGCATTCTAGCGCATTTAAAAATCTGGATTCTATAAGATCGACATTTGCTCATGATCTGTTATAGCCACCGCTGACAATTGCGTGTGCTCGCGCGAGCGCCTACGATCGGATGTTTACAGGATCTGTTTACAGACGTTTACTGCTAAGAAAATTATCACACAGCTAGGTAAACTTCTAACAAAAGTAGAAAAAATTCCACGCGCCGCCATCTTTGTTTTGAATTTTCATCTTTTGATCTCGCGCTTCTTTCGCACGTTTCTCTCGCGCTTGTCACGCAAGAGTGACCTGTTCCCCGCGCGAGGAAACTGGTACGAGCCACCTTAAGAGCGTGTATTTGATGTGATGAGTGACCACTGTGAATGCAGGAGAAAGAAACTAAGATAAAGAAGACGATTTAAGGAGAAGTAAAGGTTGCTTCACTTCATATCTAAAAGAAATATTCAACCGATTTGAAATCTTGCGACGGCGAAAAGAGAACAACTCAAGTGAAGGATAATCTACCTTAAGTGAAAGAAGACTTTGAAACTTCAAGGAAAATAATATGATATAGCCAGAAGTCGTGTGTAGGATTTTTAAGACGAGCTCGGGAGGCTGTCTTCGACAGCTGTTTAATGATTTCTTAGCAGTAAAGGCGAATTTACGTATGTAAACATCAGATCGTAGGCGCTCGCCCGAGCACACGCAATTGTCAGCGGTAGCTATAACAGATCATGAGCAAATGTCGATCTTGTAGACTCTAGATTTTTAAATGCGCTAGAACGCGCGTGGAAATTGCTAAACTCACGAAAGCTATTGCATGAAAACAAGTTCGGTGACCCCTTCTTTTTATTGTTCCAATATGATAATAACGTCGAAAGGAATCATCAGAAAAAAAATTAGAAAATTCTACGGAAGGAAATTTGCGATGTGTGAAAATTGCCTTTTTTCCAGATTTTCTGAAATTCCGCTCCGTAGAATTTTTTAAAAATCTTTGTTCATTTTCCTTTTCAAGTGCCAAAAGCAATCACTGAGAAAAACACGGGGTCACCGGGTTAGTTTTTGTATTATTTAAGCCACAAGCTAAAAAATGCGTCTGAATAAGCCTATGAAAGCGTTGCCATGGAAACTGCTAGTGACGAAATGACACTTATTTTTGGATAACCAATGATTATGTAATTCAACCCCGTAAAAGTGTTCAACTGGCCTTGGTCAGTCTTTCTGTTGTATTCTTTCAAAGTTACAAACCATCAAAAAGATGAAAACCGGTACGAGCCAACTTAAGGCACCTCATCGCCAGAAAATCCGCCAGAAATCGAGGACATTTTGCTCCCGCATTCATTGGTCAGCGGATTGCAGTCGGATGAAAACAAAGATGGCGGTCAGGACAAGTTCCATATAAGATATCGAACGATTTAAGTTCTGTGGACCTTCTTTATGGAGAAAAAAAAAAGCAAAAGAAAAACAACGTTGAACAGATCTCTTGGTATTTTTAAGGCAGAGCGACTTATAGCAATTTGCTGTCTGATGTAATGCAAGGGACATTCTGTAGTAAGCTTCAATGTCTACTCAAACTAGCTTTTTTTGTAATCTACTAAGATGTAAGACATTTTGGAAATTGTAGCTTAAACCACTTGCATTAAATAATGGGAATATCTACGCAAATCGTACTTGAAAAGGGCTTTTTCTCCCAGTTGACAACACAGTTCTATGGTTCAACGAACGCACTATACAGATCTCTCTGATCTGCTTCTTAATTTTCGTGCGAGAAAATAAATTTATTCAAGGCTCTACTTTAGTATGAGGGGGTCTGGATTGAGTTTATTTCCCGTCAAACATTGTAGAATAAGGAAAACAAATATGGCGACAGTTTGAAGGTTTCGCGGAGGGTTTTTCTTTAAACGCTTTCCCTTCTGGTGCGTTCTCAAGGATGGTCTCAGATCACAGACTCCACAGAGCAAAAATAGAAAATTTCAATCTCTTTTGGAAGTATCTCATTGTCAAGAAATGTCTTTTTATGGACGATTTGCTTACTTCGAACTTCCCTTTATTTAATGCGAGTCGGAGCTAGCTCACTTCTTGGAGGGTTGCTCCTCAAATCGACGATCCTTTGCCATGGATTACGCTATATTTGAAACAGACTAGAGGTAATGGCTAGCTTCGAATATCGAACATTGCTGACATTGCTGGAAGTAAGTAGACAAACAGCTTTTGAATTATTTTTATGTTAGAAGTACAGCTTAATCTCTACTAAACATGTTTCGAGTAAGAGCTAGGGAATAATCTGACTCGTATTTGTTGTATTTTGGATTTTTGTGGAAATCCCATACATTTCCTTACACTATTTCGCCGCCATTTACTTCTCAATACGCACGCGCGTCCGGCATTTTGACCCAAATTTCTGGCAATGTTTAGTTATTTTATCTATTTCCTTATTAAATAACATATTGCTAATTCCCCCCTTCGCCTCTGAATATTTTCAAATAATCAAAAGCGTTACGAAATAAATAAAAACACGAATGGCTTTACTGGACTATGAACTGGTTGTACACAAAAAAACGCGACTAGCAGTTGAATATGTTAGAGTGAGACAATTCTCCACCCTATGGGGTGTGAAGTTTTTTTTTTCCTTTTTTAAAAAGGCCCGCCCAGTAAAAAAAAATTTTTCAATATTTTCCACTCACAAAGTTTGACTAGTAGCGAAAATAAATACATTTACAAAACCTTTCATAAACACCCATTAAGACCCAAGTATTACAATATTCTTCAGCCTTAGAAACTCAATAAATCTATGAAATAGAACATTGTCTGATAACGAATCCAGCACAACGGTAGCTGGCGAGCAGGCCCTCATTGTTTGCGCTGCAGAGTCAGGAGAGGTCTGCAAGGGGTCTGGCACTACCATCTAGCTCAAGGCTTCATATTTTTGAGGAAACACTCGTGCCTAAGAGCTAATAATGAGGGCTTGCTCGTAAGCTACCACAAGTCTGTAACAACCCTCGCAAGTTTAACCCTCACAAGTTTAACAGACCCAATTTGTCTGTAAGTCCCAATGCACTTCTTTGCATCGGAGAACCTCGCATATAAAAGTTTCCGTGTATCCCAAAATTTTTATACAATTCTTAAGATCAAATAGCATTTTTCAAATCACACATAACCAGAAATTAAAATTCAACCTCACACATAATTCCTTTGTCTTCATTGTGCAAAGGTAATTAGTTTCAAGTAGTTCAAGAAGTAGAGGCAGTAGAGCCTAGGTCCAGTCCCCACAGCACATTACTTGGGTATTGTAGCTGAAGAGCTTCTTTAACTTGAAGTCCATGTTCGCAGTCTCGTACTTCAAGTACCACTTTGATCTGTCAAAATGAACACCAACACGTCTGGTTAATTACATCAAAGACTGGTTAGATTAAACGATTGTTTGATAACATACTTCTCTCTTAGTCCAAGTAACATTTTTCATGATCTGTTTATGTAAAGAGAAGACAGAGGTAAAGCGATCGGGCTCCTCAAATAATCGCTCTTAGAATCAGAAAAGGAAAGGTTAGGAATGAGATATTTCTCTTACCTGAACGTTAAACACGCTGGACACGAGCCATGCTCTCTCGTGGAAAATATCCTTCACGCTGAAATAATAAAAAATGCTTAGTAAAAAAATGCTATTCGCGGAATTTTGCACTCAATAACAATTTTCAATTGGCAACTTGCAGCATACCTTGCTCCCAGAGAAGCCAACAGTCGTGTTAGTTCAGCAATTCCACCAGGGCGATCACTTACAGTAACGATAAACCTACAAAGCCTTCCATCTGCAGCTAATCCTCGATCAATACAGCGACCAAGCACAGTAGAGTCAATATTGCCTCCACACAGCGGTATCACAACCCTACAAAGAAGCTGCTAGGTTAGTTCTGATCTAACAAAGAAAGTTATCTATAGAACTGTTCTATTAGCAGTTTTTAATAATGATAATAGGTCTTTAATAATAGGTCTTTAATAATAGGTCTTTATTGTTTTTAAGCAAAAAAAACATGCTAAAACAAGAAAATTTACATAAAAATAATTTCAAGGAGGGGGGCATTGGGGCCTCTGGGAAACTGCAAAACCGGAGAAAAAAAACCTCCAAAACCGAAAAACCGACGATAAAAGGCAGCAAAACTGAAAACCACATGCAAACTTGACAAAACCATTACATTTTCATCTTTAAAGGGGTCAAAAAGGAAAAACCGACAACCGCATCTGAGTTTTCGTGAAAACTGAAAACCAAATGCAAAAACATGTCAAATCCGCAAACTGCTCTGAACATCAAAACCGAAAAACCGAACCTTTTTGGCCCAAAGACCGAAAAACCGATCCAAAAAACAGTAAAAACCACAAAACCGAAAATCCCAAAGCCCCCCTCTACAAGGCTATCAACATTACATAATATAAGACATTACATTAGATAGCTATTCTATATTTGAAAAAGAGCCTTTGCGAGGCTAGAATTTGATGTTTTAGTCATCACAACAACAAAGGGGAAACAGAAAGAGTCAAGAGCACTGGCCAAAAACATACTGAAGTAATTGTATTATTAGGGGGCCATTTTTCGAAATTCCCAGTAACTTATCGGGCCTGAAGCCATATCTTAAATTCAAAATTTAAAGAATAGAGAATCAGGTTCTAGCACCCTTACCAGTTCATTTCGTTTCTTTAGCTGATAGTTTTATTGTATAATTTTCAAAACTTTTGAAACCCCTGGCCCAGATTTTCTGGTAAACAGTACTCAGGACTTTTTAGGTAAATGATATTTTCAGTATACGTAGTATTCCCCTCGTGATAAGTTTGAGTAGTTATAGGTAACCTTTATGGTAAAACAAGGTAACCTACAACCACCTCTCCCTTCCCTAGCCTGGCCAAGCCTACACAATGAACAAAAAAACAAAAACAACCCTTAATGCATTTAGATTCGGAGAGGGGTTGATGATGTGATCAGACATTCATGAAAGCAATCATCTGTTCTTACAGATGTTTATGAGAATGAAGTAAATTTTTTTTACCCCAGACTGACTTTGGGCAAGACTACTTGGACAGAGCAACAGCAGGTTCCTCTGTGAGAAATGGCACAGTTATAGTTACAAGAGAGATTATCATGTGTCGCAATCTGTACAAGAGCAATAAGAATTTTGATGTTGTCAGATACAAAACTTGTCAAAAAGAATTATATTCATGGTGTGTTAATATCAGTTTATTTTTACATATTTCAAGCATGTTTTACCTTAGGCTTTTTACAACTTTGTAATCAAATTGTGAACAGCCATCCGCCTTACTTGCGATCCTGTAGTTCAGGTAACATGCCGGCAAGAACAGCAGCAAAAGCTGTCACTCCAGCCCCTTCAACAACTGCTTTCTCTTCCTCAATTAGGCGAAGTATGGCGAGGGCGATGAAATCTTCGCTAAAAAAAAAAACCAGAACAAAACAACATATAAATCCCACCTTCAAAGAGAGATTTCATAGTTTCTGAAGAATCCCAGACAAAAAATATAACAAAATTAACAAACAGAGAAGTTGCATCTCTTCCTTCAAAAGACTTGATGAAGAAAATTAAATCAAATTTATAACTTGTAGCTGTTACCTGACACTGATAACTTTATCAACTAGTCCTGTAGCTGTTGCAAAAGCATTTGAACCAACCTTGGAGACACACAATCCTGTCAGGAGGAGGAAAGGAACCTTTACTTCTGGTTTTGCTTTCTAATTCCCAAAAATTCAGCACACAAGTAGTTTGCAACAACCTTGTTCCTAATCTTGGTTTTCTGATCCCCTCTATAGCTCCAAATACAGACGATAGGGTTTAATTCGTGAAGCTAGTAGACATGGCTTAGGGATAACGAAAGCAGTACTCACTCAATGACTGCATGAATGTCTCGTAAATGGTTCTCACAAAACCCCATTGAAATCTCACATTTATTATAATTTTATGCCAACATCTTCCTAATATCCTAACCAATCTACCGTTAGTCCTTCGGAATTCAAGTCTTGTCTTACTCTCCACACCTCTTTTTAACACAGTGCCAGTTAATTCTTACCATCAGCTAATGTTTGAGACTGGTTGACGTCTATCTTGACAGGATGACCAGCATCCATTGCAGCCGGAAAGCTTGCACAGCGCTCAGACTCCACCCCCTTAGGAAATCAACAAATTAAGTATTGACACTTAGCAAGAGTTAAACACTGTTAGTAGTGAAACACGGAAAATATTTCAAACACGATGTGCTATCTTGAGGGACGTATAAAACATCTCTCCCTGAATTCAGGTTTGCGGTTTGTATTCAAAAGGAAAAGTACCTTCAATTTGGACGCAAAGTTATGCATGTCCACTGATTAATCTTGTTATCAAAGAATAACTTTTAAGACAAGAAGAAGGGTTGTTACTTTCGGAGTTAAAAACAGAATCTATAAATTTTTTAATAAAAAGGTTCAGATGAAAGGTTAAATCTTTTTTTCTTACAATTATCTGCACATCAGGGCGTAACCCTTTGACTGCCACAGCAACACCAGCCAATAGGCCTCCACCCCCCACAGGGATCACAACTGCTTCTAAGTCAGGAACTTCTTCTACAATTTCTAAGCCCAGCGTCCCTTGGCCAGATAGAATGTGAGGATGATCATACCTGAAAGAAACTTCCATTAAAAGATATGCTACACAGTCAAGCAAATAGAAGAGGCCTGAATTTGAGTTTCCTTACCCGTTAATATAAGCTAATCCATTTGCCTTTGCCATCTTGAGGGCAATTTCTTTAGACTGTTTAGAGAGATTTGCAAACCATTTAATGTAACTTACTCCTACGAACAGATGCACATTCAAAATTGTTGTGAGAACTATAGGGAATTAATTTGTTCATTGATTGTGTAGAAAGAGGCTCATGGAATATCCCACTGGATGACATTGCATTTTCATGACTGGATTGACTCTAATGGTGTTGCATTTTCAATACAGTTACTAGAATGGGGTTGCACATTTTTTAAAATGTTGGGGGTAAAAAATTTTGGTAAGTGAGAGTTCCATTTACCCAAAAGGGACTAGGATGGGGTCTATAATTAGCCACATAATATACCATAATAGAGTAACGGTCCTGAGAGCCCGGCAGCAGATACCAAGCAAAATTTGACCTGTTACCCCTGCCATCCCCTACCGACAATCCATGGCATCATGACCATCATCAGTGAAGCTCCAGTAGATTGGCTCAAGCTTGAGAGATAAACTTGACCTAAAATTATGGTTGAAGGCCACTCTTGTAAAGCATCATCAACTCATTCAACATGGTTCTGAACAGCAATAGATATTCCAGCTTTACTTTTGATTTTGCTTGGCACTGCTCGTTTGTACAAGTTACATGCATGTAAACGCACAAAGCATGAAAGTGTTCTATGTCAAAAACTAGCCCAGCTGCCTTTGAATTATTAACACACACACTGGATACCAATGCCCAAGGTTTAATCTATTAGACACAAAAGTGGAGCTTTTTTAATTTGAGTTAACTGCAGGAATAAATGTAATCAAGTTTAGTAATTATTTGTAGAGGAACACTCTGAACAAAGAGCTTTTTACAGGTAAAAGAATCCACAATGATTGCTAACTCTGACCTCTATAAGATCAGCTCCATTCACATGTACTGATGCTTGATGTTTCCTACAAGCTGAGATTTTCATGATAGGAGCATTCAATGGCATAACAACAGTAACAGGTATCCCCAGATCTCTCCCATGATATGATAATGCAAGGGCATGGTTCCCAGCTGATGCTGCAATTACACCTTTTTCCTTTTGCTCCTATGAAAAAGTAAAATTGAGCTTGAAACAGACATTTTTCTGCAAATATTCAAGATATGAATTAAGGTGTTCCTGGTTCCTACTTACCATTTCCCCAAGCAATATACTTGAGTTAAACTTACCATATCTTAAGCTGAATTTGAAATCAAATATGTTTTTTTAATCAATCTTTAAAGCACTAGGTGGGCCTGACAAAATAAAAAAATAATTAATTTACACCCTCAGATTCTATGGAGGACTTTAAGAGAGAAAGGGTAATTTAGAGGTATTTTTTATTGAGAGAAAAAGGTTGAGTAATGTTAAACACATGTACAGTACTTGAATATGAATTTTGATTACTTACTTTTGACAGCATCAGAAGTGTGTTCCGGGCACCCCTCTCTTTGAAGCTAAGCCAAAATAAAAAATAAGCTAAAAGCAACCCGTTTTCAAAATGTCCAGTCTATATATACTGTTTAATCCTAAAAGCTACAAATCCTGGCACATGAGTCTGAGAGAGAGGCATGTTGAACAAAGATATTTTGATCCTGCATTTTCCAGTGGTGTTCTTCAGCTCTCACTGAGTTTACAAAAACTATGGCATCTAGATGTCTGCAATATAAAGTAAGGCTTAGGCTGTGTCTCCTTTTGCTTTTCTTTCTTCTTTCAATAGCTCAACTTTGCAGATCTGTTCTTCAATGCTTTGAAAACTCCAAGTGCAGAGAACAGCCATAAATTGCACTATAATAACCCATGTTTTCCTTGCTCTACAAACTCCTACTGTAAATGTTTATTTAACTAAATTGAAATAATCCAATACAAGTTACCCAGAGATCTCAACAGTCTCTTTTCAATGTTGAAAAGTAGGAAATACAAGAATACATACAGGTTTCCTGTCCTCCAAATCATTAACCAATCAGTAATGATTTTACATTTATTACCTTCCTGTATGCTGAAGATAGTCCTTCTTGAAATACAAGTCCATTTTTAATGCCTCTGACATACTGGATCTCTAAAAAATAAAAAATAAATTCCTTAAATGTGCAATTATTTTACAAATTAACAAATTGAATTTAGTTTAATACTTAATACAGAAAATGTATATAATTACAAGCATGCTCGTGAGTTTCATAGCAAATTTATGAGAATAATGCAAACAGCCTTTAGTTCGATGTCTTGGGTGTTTGACATGCTTATGCAATGATTTCAAAATTCTCAGACTCAATCACACAAAAAGTCAAGTTATTCCTAAATAACCTGAGTGTGTAAGTCCAAGAAAAGTGTCCTATTAAATTTGAACAGTTGGGCAAATTATTTCCGAAAGAATAAAGACTGTATATTGTAGTGCTCATCTGTAATTTTCATTAACTATTGCTTAAAAAGGAAAAATTTGTCAATTCTTGTGCAGTTCCAACCACGGGTCCTATCTGTAAAAAATCTAAGGTATGTGTTGTCCAGAAAGGAATGGGCAAACCTCTAAAAAATTGCTCCCTTCCTCAACAAGAGACAAATCTGTTTGAATAAATAAGTATTTCCAGACTACATTACTTTGTTGAAACAAATAACAAAATGTATATTTGATGAAAACATTTTGGTGCCTAGTATTGCTGAGTATTTTTACTAGTTCTCTGTATTTTGACTCATCGGTCCTGGGGGCTTAATTCTCAAAACATATAGTAAGATATATATGTCTGCATTCAAGAGACTGTGACCTCCTATCCAGCCACTAGGTAGAGTGAGGAATTTTAAAAGTTGCTTCCAGCTTGGAAACCCAATCATATAAGAAAAAGAGAGGCACTGGATGGGTATCAATGGGGAGCTCTCTCCCAAAAGAGACAAAGAAATCATGTCACAATATTTTGAGTCAGTACATTTTTCCCCGTGCAAAACAAAATTGAAATTCACATGACTGAAAAAAAAAGATAGTTTGATGAGATAGAAAGCATAAGGAAAGGCAGGAACAGAAACCAAGATGGAAAAAAGCATGGAGAAGATTTACAAACTATTTAGTGGGAAAACATTTCCCAAATTTTCCAAGAAACACAAATGATAGCAACTATCCAGTGCAACTCTCTCTCTCCACCAAACATTTTTGTTGACATAAATCCGTTCAGGGTCTATACAGTTAAATATGGAGCCTAACAGTTGATTACAGATATGAAGAATTTTTTCTTTGGCAGAACATGAACTCACAGCTAAACAACGCAGCAAGCTAACTAAATGATCATCCCCACATGAAATAAGTTTTCCCTGGGTCTCGTGAGGGGTAGCAGCCACGACAACTTACATTAATTAAATTCAAGCTGTCAAAACAAAGAGACCTGTTTCGACATGTTAAGTACCTAATACGGACCGCATGACAGAGGTCGAGCCAGAAGTCAGTTCCAACTGCGGAAACCATTTTTAGATTTTGCTCCACAAGTGGTTAACTACTCACTTCACATTGCGTTTTTTTCACCCCTTTTCGAATCCTGTAGGAGGCAGCACTGACGTCTTCGAAGCTAACCAATATGGGTTCTTCTGTTTCACCCGTGATTGGATTTAAGTGTTTCAGTTTATTCACTCTTCCATCAGCACCGCTCGATGGAGAGAGCGAAGAGCGTTCAAGTCGCTGTTTCTCTGCCATAGCACTTTTTACACCCTTTTTACATCGGCGTGCTTAGTACATTTCGTAAGCTTGCAAATATTTGTCGGTAAGAGGGGCGGGCATACATCCCTTCATACCGCAAAGGGTAACGGGTAAGCTTAGAGGGGGTAAGAGGGGAAAGTTGCATGGCTAGCTTCTCGCGTACGTGTAACCGAGTGTCTTCTCATTAGCTCGAAAACTACATGAAAGAGTTAAAAACTAACGCGGACAACCTTTCTAAATTGATCTTATTAAAACTGAGAAGTGGTTTCAAAAAATTTCTCTTATCACATGCATGCATGCATGCACACACATAAAAGTTTTACTGAAATATTTTTCTCTTGAGCAAGTCATAGCACACAATTTAGTTAGGTAATAAGTTCCTGAACTTTTGTTGATGGCATCAAAATAGATTGCATTTCACGAAAATGAAGGGAAATAGCTTTGGAACCCAAACTATGGTTTTTCACGATTTCCTTTTGTAACTTTTCTTGACATGTTGAAATATCCAAGTTAATTGCACATTCTAAATGTACAGTGCATGTTTTAATTTTTTAAGACCTTATTTGTTTCAAAAAAGCTTTTCGTCTGAATAAAATGATTCATCATGAACTAAAATAGTCAATGGTGTTGAAAAGCACACTCTGATTGGCTACTCAATTTCCAAAATATCCTTTGCTATTCCCCTCCCAAGCATTTGCATGCAGGATTTCTACCCAAAAATATTATAACCATTGCAGAAATGAAAGAGTAAAATCATCTCATGCTAAATTATCTCACCGATTTAGTATATACTAAAACAACTATTAACCTCAGCATTGGTGGCTAGCAGTGGATATTTACAATGTACCTCACTGCAACACGGCTCTGTAAATATGCACCACTAGCCACTTACGCTTCAGTGAATAGTTGTTGAATATCTCCCAATTCATCTTAATCTAAAGTGATGTGGAGAGCTTTTATTTCACTTTTGTATCTTACACATGCATAAAAACGTTTTTATTGCAATTCAACATCACTTTTTAATGAATAAAACTGAGCAATGGAATACAACATGAACAATAAATAAATTAATCAGCCATATGGCCAGAGATGAATGTGGATATCACTCCTGTCAGTTGACCATTTTCCATATATCTTTGGTGTGATTAAACGAACAATTACAGCCATCCCACCCACTACCGATCGACCCATTTTAGAAATATGCCTTTCTCCAACTGCATTACACAAGACTTGGGGTCATTACTGTATTACTGATTTGACCTTGGTGGAATTAGAATGTCAACTTCAGAGAGTGGTAGGTTCATTAAGAATGGTGAAAACATTTCTCTCTTCTGATGATAAGAAGGCTCTTGACTGACATCCCAACAAATAACTGCAAAGGAGATAACTGTTATCTGAGCACCTGCTCAAGTCTTTTAGGGCTACTTCTAGGTACATTTTACAACTGTATATGAAGGAGCTTTCAATTTTAAAATCTGTGTTCTAAAATTAAGCCCACTGCATTAAAGGTGGGGTTTCAAAACTGCCTTCATGAGTGCCTATTGTCAGTAGAGTAGATGGATTTGAAACTAAAGTTTTCTACAACAGATATTATCTTAACAGGCAGCAGTAAGTAAGGCCTTATGAGTAGTGGTAAAGTGCTATTAACCAAGTTTAACTAAAATTCCTGTTAAAAATTAAAATTGATGACACAAATTGTCCCTGGTCTAAATCTGTAGCACGAGGCCTCCAGCTGTAATATGGTCTCCCCCTCCTCCTGTCTGTAATACTTGGGTACAAACTAACACTGGAGCAACACAGATTTCATAATCATTTTCATCCCAACAAGAAACAGGTGAATTGGCATTGAATTCAACTTTTGGACTGCCTGGAACTATACTCTTAGAAAATGAATCATCCATAAATAATTTAGATTTGTCAGGATCAATTTCTTCTGAGCCACACACATGACGGGTTGCTGTCAAAGAGGCCTTTGCTGCAGCTGCCTTGGTATTTTTCCAGTTTGATCCTTTCCTGGTTAGAATTGCTTGAAATGCCAATGTGTGGACATGCAGTCTTGTTAACTGTCTCTTCCTACTTTTCCCATAATCCTTTTTTGAAGTCTTGTACACATCTCTCATGAGATCCAGCACTTTTGCAACCCTTGGTTTTTGACTTGAAACGACTGTTATGTTTCCATAGAGAAGCTTGCTCCACAAGTTCGGCAGTTCCTGTTCATTCATACCCACACTGCTTGAGTAAGGAACAACAAACTGCAAAAGTTCATCAAAGAAAGTTTCTTGATGGAAGGGGGCCATTTCAAAGTGAATTGGAACTTGCAGTGTGTTCAGAAAAGATGACAGCTTTTTCAATATTTCACCACTGTCCCCTGGATTAAAGCCTGGAAAATTATCTAACATATGAAGTCCAGAAACCACCACAACTGCTGGGGAAAAATCCTTTACTTTCTCCTGAAATTTTTCCATTGACTTCAGATATGGATTGTGTTCATCACTGTGTAGAACTAGTCTGTTTGCTCTTTGGGACTCATATTTCCCCCAAGGAAAATGTGCAGGATATTCTAACAACAAATGGACATCATCAACCTCTACAATATTACCCACTGCTGTTAAATTCTCTGGCAATATCTTCAATAATTCTGAACTTGAATCAGCAGCTGAAAGAACGTGGCATCCTTCATAGGCAAGGCGTTTACCAATTTGCAATCCACTGCCACCAACTAGTTTGCGAGTGCCTTCAATTTCCTGAGATTTGAGAACTAACTTACGAAAAAAATCTTTGTCAGTCATGTAGCGGCTGAAAAAAAAAAAGACACCACATCATTTATTAAATACATACCTTTTCTAAAGAACACTTATGAATGTACTGATAATAATTTGAACATAAAAGGCTGACAGAGGATGTTATAATGTTTGAATATTTTGAGTGAGTTCCACTTTTTCCTTTAAACAAAAGTTTTGAAAAATACCACCCAAAAACAAAATCTTGATACCCTACATGCCTCTGTCACTCAGTGAAATGTTCAAAAAAAGGATTGTTTCAGTTTGATCCCTTGACAGTTTGCTGGTATTTGGCAAATAAACCACTTCAGGTGGCAGGTTTGTCTACTGATAACGTCCACAGCTGAAAGACTGTCCAAAAATTGAATATTTGGCTAAGAAGCAAAGTGACCAGGCCAGACCACATCACAGTAATGTCCCCTGCCTAACCAAATTAACTAATTAAAGAAGCAGGAGACAGGACCGACTGTTTATTCATCCTTATCCAAGAAGACTAGAATGTCTATCCACTTTTTGATATTATAGAAAGGTAGCACATTCTCCTCAGTTATTTTAAGACCTTGAGTGTTGGTCCAGCTGGCCCAGCTCGAACCCTCGACCTCCCGCACAACAGTCCAGCGCTCTAAACAAATGAGCTAACTGGGAGGCGGTTAAAAACAATTTGACAAAGAAAGTCTTCATGTATTCTTAATTTCATAATTTTTATTAAAAGGAGATTTTGAGAATATCAGTGCTGGGGCTTAAGTTAAGTTGTGTAAAATTTCAGAAGTGCTAGGTCTAAATTTTAAACAATAACTTGGGTGCAAGTAGTCCAATAAATCAAATAGTACCAGTTGTTTTTTTTTAAGGAAGAAAAAGAGCGGGGCCATGGGGAAAGCTTGAACGTAGGGGTGGTCCATGGAGGTTCACAGCCCCAACCTCGAAATTTGCTTGAACTCCACCCTAATTTCCATTAAACAAGCCCATGGGTTTTGGGTGTAGAACTGCAACAGCTTCTTTTTCGTCGAAACTGATCACTGGTTTACCTGAACGTGTAATAAGTCTTGCAGTATGGGGGGAAATTTAATTCCATGATAATGAACTAACCCCGCCTTCAGTATCAGTAGTCGGAACCTACCCAGGAAAGATACCAGTGTCGTAAACTGAAATAATCGACGCTTCTAAAAAATTTCTATTAATAATTGCAAAGGACCTGAGTATAAAAGTTCAGATTCGACACTTACGATGACGCTGCACTGTGATTAAAGAAGAACGCAAATGTTTCCAAAAATTGTTTCTCAGTCTGCAAAATGTCGTGAGGTTTGGCTTGCTCGGGCGGTTCAAGGTTCAACGCTTCGAACAATTCCAAAGAATCCACAAAATAATCTACGTTAGCCTCAAAACTAGTCGCTACTTTGGGTTTTCCATGCACTGGATTTTCTCTTTCCAAAGACTTCAGACCCTCCAAGACCGCAACAATACGGCTATCCTGGCTTGTTACGTGTCGGTAGTAAAAATATGCTGCCACGACAGCTGCAATGGCGATTGTGGTAGCCACAATATTTGCCATTTGGTAGGTATATCAGTCCTACTTGAAAAGAAAAACTAATTACATTAACTCTATTTCACAAACTTTTCTTCCCAGTTCAAACACTCGATCTTTCGATAGCAAGTACCTTACTTCGGACAAAGAATCGAAGAGCACACCTCTCAGAGGAGAAACCGCTGACAGGCAACACTTCAACTGCGAAAGCGCTATCGTTTCAACTTGAATCACAGGGGGCCCATACCATCTGTTTGTGGAGCAGACCGTTGTTTTATAGTGAATGTACCAGATTTACCGTTTGCCTCACCTAGAGTGATATATTGCTGACTATGTACATAAATCATTGATAAATAAACGTTGAATTACTTTACCTGTGGTGCATAGTCGTCTTTTTGCCTCAAAAATAATACTTTTTTGAGCGATTTTGAAAAAGTCTGATTCCTCGTTAATGTAATGCATTAAAGAAAGACCTTGTCTTTCCTTAATGCATTTATGTTTCCATAAAGTAGCTTGCTAGTTCCTGTTCATTCATACCCATACTACTTGAGTAAGGCTGAATTATATATTGCAAAAGTTCATCAAAAATGTTTCTTGATGGAAAGGGGCCATTTCAAAATGGATAGGAACTGAAATAATATCCAAAATTAATTGAAGCCCCTGCAAAATTTGACCGCTACCACCTTCATCAAAGCCTGGAAAGTTATCCAGCATATGAAGACCACCAACAATTAGAACTAAAGGAGAAAAATCCTTGACTGATTTTTCAAATTTCTCAAGTGAACGTACTGGTAAGGGTTATTTTCATCACCTTGTACAACTAAACAGTTTGCTCTTTATGAATTATAGTTTCCCCAATGTCTGAGGGCAGGATATTCCAAAAGCAAGTGAATGTCATCTATTGGAACAACATTCCCAACAGAAGACATGCCCTTGGGTAGCATTTTTAAAAATTCATTTGATGTATCTCCTGCCATTAGTACATTAAATCCCTCAAGAGCAAGACGTTTCCCAATGTGAAGACCATGCAGTGCCCCCCATTGCTTTGTACGTACTCTGAAGTTCATTTGCTTTTTTACACAATCTTTGAAAAAGTTCTTTGTTTTCCATATAACGTCTGAAAAATAATCGTAATAATTGTTTCATTTTCAGGGCAATGACAGAGGTACTACATATACAGCATCATTCAAAATCACTGAATAATCTTTGCCAATAAAAATTTAACACCTAAGTGCTGTAATTGTACTATTACATTAAGAACAATTATGATACAAAAAGGAAAATTCATTTACATCTACTAGGCAACTAAAACATCTAAAATCAACAAAAGCAAAAATAGTTCTTAAGTGTGGGAAAAAATCCAAGGTCTATTTCATGGACTATCTCTGGGTTTGACAGATTGGGACTGATGTAAGGTGTAACAAGTGTTTTCACTCATTTCTCTTCTTGATATTTCCGTTTGTTTGCTTACTTTTGTTTTGTTTTGTTTTTTTCCCCATGAAAACAAAGCATCCACACCCCAAACCAGGACACCAGGGGCCATAAGTGTCAAGGCGCGGTCTTTGAGTACTGGTCCCTAACCATACCCTCTCATGATAAATATTTACAACTTAACTGCATAAAAAGGGAATAAAACGCAAAAGAAAGAGTATTGTTTTCAATACAGGCCAGGCATCATTAACATCAACAGACTTACGATGACGCTGCAATGTGATTAAAGAAGAATGCAAATGTTTCCATAAATTCTCCCTCAGTCTTCAAAATGTCGTGGGCTTTAGCTTCCTCTGGCGGTTCAAGATTCACCGCCTCAAGCAAATTCAGAGAATCCACAGTCACTACATAGACTATGGTAGCTTCAAAGCCAACAGCAACTCTGGGTGTTCCTTCTAAAGGAGTTTCTTTTTCTGTAAACTTAAGACCGTCGAAAACTACTTCTATACGTTTTTGTTCACACGTATGTTTGTAGTACAAGTACGCTGCGATCAATTGCACACCGCCTAAGATGTTTGCCATTATCTGTTACGGACAAATGTGATATTTATAGGATGGCAAGAATTCCGTATAACCCCATACATTAATTATGCATTCAGTCTTTGTTCAAAGAAAACAATAGCGAGAACAATAGAACTCCGCAGAGGCTAGTAGTCTTTGTTTTCAAAAATTGGATTTTTTTTCTAAGTCTTTTTTGAAACAGGGTAAATTCGGCGCGTTTTGGCTTTGCAAAACGGAAAATTTAAGTCATTTTCCAGAAGTTTTTAATTTTAAAATATAACTGAATGTTCAGTTTAGCGTTGAAAGCGTATGGTTGGCCGAAAAATATGAAGGCTATCGTCAGGCTGTAAAGTTTGTCAATGTAAAGTTTAAATAAATGTTGTATCTTACCTGTTCCATTGCTTGTAAGCCTATGTTTAGTTTAAAGAACTGTTAAAAATTCTAAGACATAAAAGCGGCCAAAACGAGATGGCAAGTCTTGATCATAGCTCATCATTTCATTATGATTTGAACCATAAAAAAACGAAGAAGATGACGAGTTTTTTAATGTGGCTGGTACCAGGTTTCATCTTTTTGATGGTTTGTAACTTTGAAAGAATACAACAAAAAGACTGACCAAGGGCAGTTGAACACTTTTACAGGGTTGAATTATAGAATCATTGGTTATTCAAAAATAGGTGTCATTTCGTCACTAGCAGTTTCCATGGCAACGCTTTCATAGGCTTATTCAGACGCATTTTTTAGCTTGTGGCTTGAATAATTCAAAAACTAACCCGGTGACCCCATGTTTTTTTTCGGTGATTGCTTTTGGCACTTGAAAAGGAAAATGCACAAAGATTTTCAAAAAATTCCACGAAGCGGAATTTCAGAAAATCTAGAAAAAAGGCAATTTTCACACATCGCAAATTTCCTTCGGTAGAATTTTCTAGTTTTTTTTCTGACGATTCCTTTCATATTGAAACAATAAAAAGAAGGGGTCACCGGACTTGTTTTCATGCAATAGCTTTCGTGAGTTTACCAATTTCCACGCGCGTTCTAGCGCATTTAAAAATCTGGATTCTATGAGATCGACATTTGCTCATGATCTGTTATAGCTACCGCTGACAATTGCGTGTGCTCGCGCGAGCGCCTACTATCTGATGTTTACATACGTAAATTCGCCTTTACTGCTAAGAATTCATTAAACAACTGTTAAAGACAGCCTCCCGGGACCATCTTAAAAATCCTACACACGACTTCTGGCTCCATCATATTATTTTCCTTGAAGTTTCAAAGTCTTCTTTCACTTAAGGTAGATTATCCTTCACTTGAGTTGTTCTTTTTTCGCCGTCGCAAGATTTCAAATCGGGTGAAAATTTCTTTTAGATATGAAGTGAAGCAACCTTCACTTCTCCGAAAATCGTCTTCTTTATCTTAGTTTCTTTCTCCTGCATTCACAGTGGCCACTCAACGCATCAAGTACACGCTCGTTGGTAAACTTCTCACAAAAGCAGAAAAAATTCCACGCGTCGCCATATTTGTTTTGAATTTTCACCTTCTTATCTCGCCCTTTCGCACGTTTCTCTCGCGCGCGTGACGAAAGGGTGACCTTTCCCCGCGCGAGGAAACTGGTGCGAGCCACCTTAACAAACATTTTATAATAAATCATTACTGATACCCAAACTTTCAGTGAATCAAGCCAGTAAGAGGAAAGGGACTTTAAATGAAAAAAAAAACAAAAAAGACCTTTTATCGATAATTATCGATGACCTCACTTCGAATCGAGCCAATGAGAGGAGATGCACATGTATATAAAAATTAATGACTTTTTTTAAAAAAAAATATGATAAACTGTTTTCTACAGTCATCAAGGACCTCTCTTAGAATCGAGCCAATACAAGGACTGGTAAATTGGGAGCTTGACACAATCTGGCGTAGAATTACCTGAGTTCGCTGGACAGTGACGATAAGAGATGGAAAGACACTCAGTGACAGCAACATGCTCATCATTTGTAGAGTGAGTTATGGAGACGCTGGTCGATACACATGCAACGCTAAAAACAGTGAAGGGAAAAGGGATGCAGTCTTTCCGATTGGGTTTACAGGAAGACGTTAATTTTCTCTTATTCTTTCAGTAACTCTTTTCACTTTCTGTTTTCCTTTTTCAAAAAGTAGTTACTTTCACCTACTTTGAATCGTGCTCGTTAATTCCTTACCCAGGTCAATCGTTTGCACATAATTCATCATTCCAGTTCAAATACTCTCTGAGAGGTTTCCCTACACCTGAGGTACTCTGGACTAAGACTAAGGATGCGGTGAATATTGGTTGCGAGAACAATTTTACGATTTTATAAAGCGAGGTCTGAAGACCTTGGCCATTAAAAAAGCAGCACCAAAAACAATGAAGGACGTAAGAATTCAACTTAGATTAAAATAACAGTAGGTACGATTCTCATCTGTACAGACAAGAAAGGGCTGTGGTCAATGTGGAACTTAACTAAAACGTCCAGACCTTAGGATATTTCACTTAGGTTAACTATAGAATCTGTTTTACTGACTTGAAACTACACAGTTGTAAAGTACTTAAAAATCCAAAAGGATATGAAAGAGAAACTCACGTTTGAAGCCCAATCTCTCCATTGAGCAATCATTTCTAATCATAACTCCTGCTTGAGTAATGAAAGCGATTGCTAAACATCCAAGAACAGGAATAAAAATGTTTGGACCAATGATTTCATAATCCGTTCTGAAGCGCAATGCACATCTATCCAACCACTTTTTGCCTGTTTCTTCAGAATTCCGTAAACCACATCTGTGTTCGTTTGCTTAAAAATAACATTAGCTCTAAAATAAATTAAGCCTGAATCTTTAAAAGCGTAAGCTGCGCCATTTCCGGGAAACCTTTCTCGCCGTGGCCATATTTGAAATCAGCTCAGGTGACCACGTCGTCGACGAAATGTTCACTTTGAAAATAGTTCGTAGCTTTGATGACGAAGGATTCAGAACAGGATGTCATCCAAAAGTTAGCGGGCTGGAGACGTGATTAAAAAGTCTGCGTCTGAACTCAGCCCAAAGTCATTGTGTTGTGTTTTTTGGTGAGATAAATCTTACATTTTCCGTTCTTTACCTTACTGAAAGGGGTTAAAAGTTACCAACAAACTCTAAAAGAAGCCTGAAAAAGTGAAATAGTT